GCTGTCCGTGCACTTGACTTTGCTCTTGGAAATCATGCATTGCGCGCGCAACCTACAGATTATTCACTAATCTGTAGGTACAGATTAGTGAATAATCTGTAGGTTGCGCTGTTTCCCAGAATTAACTGTAGGTTTTTAGCCAATGAGAAGACAGATGGTGACTACAATGTATAATAATTATGATAATTATGCATGTAAAAGTCTTTAATGATATATGTTAGTGTAGGAGCTGCTCGTACGGTCTGTCCTAATTGGTCGTAGGAAGCAATAGCATGTCATTCTTCCAATTGTTTTAGTATTGTTTGGGGTCAGGGAAACGCACCATTGGTGACTTCTCTTCTGAGCAGCTGCTACATGACCCATGGTATTGAGAACTGTGAAACCTTCCTGGTCCAAAATATTGACAGCTAATGTGCCTAGAAATGGCTCTAATGCATGATTATGTCAATTGCGTAAACGCTGATGCACTCTTAGTGCAAGGGTATTCTTTCAACTGTTAAGCCTTGGCAGGGCAGGAAAAAAAATTGAAATCCACTTGCCCAGAAAATTTCAGTTTTCACTTTTCCCACTTAAATGTTACTTGCCCTAAGGCAACACATTGCCTTATCATCAAAAGTTCTAAGGTACTGTCTAGCATATGGGTGTAAGTAATAGATTATAACAAATTTTGTAAGATTACTAGTACTTAAAATTAATCTGTGTTGATACAGCTCTAGCATCTACTGGATTTGACCAATATGATTGGATGAGTAACACAAGCAATTAAACATGCACTTGATTTTTTAATTGATTCATGCTTTCAACTAATTGTGTTACTCTTACTCATCTTGCAGTCTTCTGTTTTAATATAGTTTCTGTCTGGAAATTATCACCCCAAGGTGACACTTTCAGACAAAAAAACCTTCTATTTTTACTTTGCCCCGGGAAATCAGACCTGGGTTATTTCCTGTCCCGCTTGGGACTTCATTAGTATACCAAAAATGAGACTTGGTGGTGAAGTTTGCTAATTAATTTTAACATAAACATGCATAAGGATTATATTGCTCAGTTCATCTCTCCAAAGTGAAAAGTATAGTATTTGATGTTTTGTTAAGCAAGGCTAGTTCAACCACTGAGCCCCCATTTATATGGAGAAAATTTGTCTTTAGTAGAATGTTAATTTGTCTCACCCGAGCTACATTGTAGCATGAGAAAGCCAGCTTTCTTAAATTAATTATGTACTTAATGTGGTGAACAGTTTTCATGCAAAACAAAAGTTGGCTCTAGGCTTGTCAGGTCACTCTCCTAGCCGGGCCAAGTTCTCTCCATTCTTTTCTCCATATAAACACTTTGGCTCGCCCTGCTGTGTCAACTCTGTCAGGGACAGACAATTTGAGCATGTACACGTACACATGCTGTGTTAGACAACCGGAGCATGTGTGAGCATTGTTAGCTCAGGCAAAGGGGTAAACGTTTTTTTCTGGTTTTGTTTGCAAGAATCATATCAACATTTTCATAGTTAGGTACAAAAGTTTTCACAGTATTTCACCAACTTTGTAGGTTTGTCCTAATGGGTAATTACATTTTTCTCAGGTACCTTGGGATCAAGCAGTCATAGTTTCCCAGTATTATTTTAAAGCAAAGACAACATCAGCAAACGTGCGGAACCTTAAAGCTGCATGTAAAGAATTGTGTGTTTTGTTTTCAAGGACATTATAAGAGGATCTCCTGTATTCTCTGGGCAGATTCTGTTTGAGAACCCTTGATATACATATTGGAATAGTTAACATTTATGTCTACTCTACATGCAAAGTTTAGATGTGGATGTATTTTTATTATTAACAGTAAAAATAATCCGCAAATAAAAGCCAAATAAATGCGTTAATAGCTCACTTATTACCGCGAGATTCACAGGGTCAATTTTGATCAACAAGGTTTTTACAGGGTCAAATTAAATAAGTCTCCCTTTTTCGATTTACAATGTTATTACAGGGTCAAATCAGTCTCCCTTTTTCGATGTACAATGTTATTACAGGGTCAAATCAGTCTCCCTTTTTCGATTGACATTGTTATTACAGGGTCAAATAGGTCTCCCTTTTTCGATTTACAATGATATTACAGAGTCAAATTGGACTCTCTTTTTCGATTTACAAGGTTTTTACAGGGTCAAATCGGTCTCTCTTTTTCGCTTTACAAGGTTTTTACAGGGTCTAATCAGTCTTCCTTTTTCGCTTTACAATGTTATTACGGGTCAAATCGGTCTCCCTTTTCCGATTTACAATGTTATTACGGGTCAAATCGGTCTCCCTTTTCCGATTTACAATGTTATTACAGGGTCAAACCAGTCTCCCTTTCTCGATTTACAATGTTATTACAGGATCAAACCAGTCTCCCCTTTTCGATTTACAATGTTATTACAGGGTCAAATCAGTCTCTCTTTTCGATTTACAAGGTTTTTACAAGGTCAAATTGGTCTCCCTTTTTCGATTTACAATGTTATACAGGGTCAAATTGGTCACTATTTTTCGATTTACAAGATTTTAACAGGGTGAACTCAGACTCCCTTTTTCGATTTTCAGTGTTTTGACAGTGTGAAATGATTCCTTCTCTTTTCGATTTACAGGGATTTCACATAATATTTACCAGGTCGTAGTAGACTATTTTATTTACTTACATGTTATTTACAGAATTTTTTGGCAGTATTTACGGTATATTTACATGATCTTGCCTTTAGAACCTTTGCATTTTACAGGATTGTCTTCAATTTTTACATGTTCTGCTCCTAATATTTACACCTCTTTTACAGTGACTTTTAACATCCTGTAAAATGGCATTTTCCCTGTAAAATGTCATTTACAGTGATCTGTAGTTGATTTACGTAATATTTACATGTTAGAATAGAATTTTACATGTGCACGTAAATTTATCAATTTTTCCAGTGGTATAGTACTAAGGTAAACACAAACACACACTGACTCAAAATCAAGTCATGAACTCACTTTATTACTTTTACAAACAAAGCTTGTTTTTAACGTCATTAATAACAGAGTCAATTTCCATTGCTTCTTCGTCTTTTCTCACTACTTCTTCAGGGCATTCCATTTCTGCTTGTTGGTTACTAAAGTCCTTGCTCTTGAGGGCATTAGGTCCGTCATGTATAGCGCGCGATACGACTGTGAAGATCACCATCAAACCATCTAGCTCAACTGAAGTGAGAAATATAGTGGTTCAAGGCATCTTTGGTAGCTCACTGACGTACATTTCCCATGATTGACCAAGCTTATAGTCAAGAGCGTTGCACACACTTTCAACACTGTTCGGGACTGCATTCACATCAATTTTTTCCAAAACGTCTTCTAGGTAATATAACCAAGAATCGTCTTTATCCATCATAAAACACGAATGTTGTCTTTGATTTGGGTGCTGAATAGTACAACCGTAACAGCGATTCAGCTTTTCCTGTTGAATGACTTCGTTCACCAGATTGGCATAAGTCTGTTGGAACATATGGCTGATAAGACTTGCTATCTTTTGCCGTTGAACTTGTTCCACTTAATCGACAGATATTAGGCACCATCTAAATTTAGAAGTTTCGGCGCGACCGAAGTAAGGAGCAATTTCAACCCAGGGGGTGGGTAAGAGTTACAGTAGTGAGGACAAAACATACGACGCAGTAGTGATAGTGTGAGGTAAGTGCTGAACAGACGAATTTACCAGTTGCATCCTTGTGTTTTATTTCGGGCTTAGCCCAGTGGCAGGAACTTTTATGCAAAACGTGCTCATGTTCTTCGTTAAAATTGTGTGAGTCCCCTGTGGTTTGTCTCAAATTTAAAGCCCATTTTCGGTGCTTTTTGTTTCTGACAGGAATTGACCTCTGATGAATTCCTGCTATGCTTCGTCGCGCGTTGTTTTCAGGATGTTGAATTTTTACGGAGAGTGATTTACCGACCCCAATTAACATGGTAAAAAACGATGGGTTCTGTAGGTCTAAGCGACTTTTCACTCATAATGTAAACGTTGATCATAAATTTCGGTTAATCCAAAAATGGTTGCTTCAGTCTTAATTTTATGCAATTAAAGGACTGTGGTTGAAAGACACTCTTTACTTACTTAAACAAAAATAAAGCTGAAAAACGAATCCACAGTATGGGTAATTAATCGATCATTGAACCCCCTCCCCCAACCCGCGAGGTCTTCGGATCCTTTGAGGTCAGTCATGTAAAATAATAGCGGAGCTCCACGCGCGCGCGAAGCGCGCGTAGGCGGAGCCCCATAGCTTAGTAAATCTACCCATCCCAGAAAATTTGGTAATCACGTGACCATACACCGACCGCCCACCGACCGTCTGTCCGCACCACAGGACAACCAATGTTTACTCTACTCACACTTTCTAACTACTTTGGGAGCCCAGGAGGAAACGGAGGAAACTGATTGCTCATCAATGTTGTGATGATTTGACAGCTGTCAAAACAAGGTATCCGCTGACCAGTATCACCTGGCCGTATCGCGGGCTCAGGTGTTGACCCATCGAGATCGAGTACTTTTTTGAAGTTACCCGCTGAGAAGTTACTGGTTTTCAAATGATCGCAGGCTCAAGTTTGTTTTTTTTAAATTTATATGTAATATGTTGTGTTTATGTCATTATGGCCCCGCACTATTAAGATTTTGATTTCAAACTGACCTCGGACGCAAAAATTCAGCCAGTTTTTTAAAACGACATGCGGGGAAGACCTTTTCTTACCATGGTCACGCGTTGGTCACCCTCTACGTCTAATTTTTATGCTCTGATTGGTCAAAATTTGGCAGGTGAGTTCATGAGGAAAATTTATGCAGCATCTTGAAAGTTGTTGTATTTGTTATACACATCACCTATTGCGGACATAATAAATGATCATGGACTATCATACCATTTATATGCTGACGACACCCAATTATATATTACCTTTAAATCTACCAGCTTGAATGACATCCAACAAGTGAAGTTGAGAGTGGAATACTGTGTGAGGGACATTGATGAATGGATGATAAGAAACTATCTTAAACTAAACCAGGACAAAACGGACCTTGTAGTCATCAGTTCCAGATTCCATCCTATGCCTGACATCGGTCACATTACTGTTGGTTCTGAGTGCATTGCACCTCGTGACTCTGTTCGTAATTTAGGGGTTCAGTTTTATAGCATATTCAGTTTTGAGGAGCACATTAAGAACATTTGTAAATCATCATTCTATCATTTGAGAAATATTGCTAAAATCCGCAAGTACTTAAGCCAAGATACATGTAAAATCTTAGTCCATGCATTTATTAGTTC